ATAGAAAATTCTATCTCTCAATTTCTTTAATTAAAAAGGTCGTTAATATGTGTTGGCATAAAACCAATCTCCCCCTTTTTGCTTTACAAATACATCACTCTTTCGAATGGAATTGCTGTGATTTTATCATCAACAAGTAAATAGATTAATTTCTTCTTATGAAAGTAACGTTTGACATATTGAAAATAAATCCTGAAAATCATTAACTTTTATGCCACAATCACATATAATTTCAATTCATTTTTCTCTTTTATGAGAACGTGAAATTCTCTCAGTTAATATGTAATTACGATAGTCTACTCATCGTCATTAACTTCCTTTAATGTAAAGAGACAAATTAAAAAAAATTGGAAAAAGTGAATATACCTTCAAATGTCCTCCAACATTTCCTAATCAAGATGGTCCAATTGGAGTAAAACCTGGTGATTGGAGACATCATGAAAATGATATAAATGGCTTGAAAGAAATGAGATGTATGGGTGACTCTAACAATTATGGAGCAGATGCCAAGTGTGTTCGAGAACAATTCGCTGAATATTTCAGTAATGAAGGTGCAGTTGACTGGCAATGGGGTGCTATAAGAAGGTCAAAGTAAACATTGTTTGGTATGTTTGGAAAAATAAAAAAAATTGTGGGCAACCTGGTCAGTGAAATTCATTAGAATCAAAATGTAAATATGTTGCAAAAGATTATCATTATTAATGAAGTAGTTATCAAGAAAATTGATAATGTTTTAAGCAGGCTTGCTATTTTATGTTTTTCAATAATATTCTATAAATTACTGAACAGGTTTTCTTAGATTGACGTTATGTAGAAAAAAATAGTATCATTCAAATTCTAGTTCATATAACAATTGCTGAATTTTTAATTTGGATAATCTTAATTTTTTCTTGTCCATATCTCTAAGGACAGGCACTAGACTGTCACAAAACAAGGCTGCTTCATCTTTCTCATGATCTTTGTCTTTCATTTTGTAAACAAAACTAAGCATTTTTTCATCGGTATTCTTTATATGGTCCAGTAGAGGATCCTGTTCTTTCGTTTTTACTCCTTTTTCTTTTAACACTCTTTCCGACACTGTCGTCAGAAATAACAGTGCTTGAGCAGCTTCATGGTGCTGGTGAGGGAATTGGTAAAGGAGAATGTATTGGAACAGGAGACGACATGGTTGCATAGTTTCTTCTTGAGTTGCAGTGATTTCTGAATCCAAATTTAACAGCTCGATGTTGCTGTTTGTTTCAAGATTGCTGGTTTTATCATGCAAAAACCTCATGATTTCAAAATATTTACAAGTTGGGAGTGTTGATGCTGCTGCTCCAGATATTGACATTGCTTTTCTTTTATCAAGACATTTCTTTACAGAATCCTTTAAATTCTTGAATATCTTTTGGAGGTAATGAACAAAATGTGAAAAAAAAATTTGCTTTCCAAAATATTCATAAAAGCAAAATATAATCATCCACAAAAAGTGATATTAATCAACTTGCCATACCGCACACCATGTAGCCTACACAAAGATTTCCTGCGTGAACTTTCAACTTTGTAATATATTTATAGTAAATATTGTTATTATGGCATATGCGATAGTAGAATATGTCTTTAGCAATTATTCAGTGGTAGTGAAACACATCATAAAATGTCTACACTCATTCAAACATTCTATTTATTAGTCACATAAATTTATTGAATTTCTTTTTTAGCAGCTAGAAATGTAATCGTACCTTCTTGAGAAAACATTTGCGATAATGCATTCCATGCGTTCACTTTCATTGTCCTGTTCTTATAGTTTGAATCATTTGTATCCCATAAACATTTAAATTCGCGAAGGGCTTGCAAAAATAATTCCTTGTCAAACACTGCATTGTTATTCGGTGTAGCATTAAATTGCTGTTCTTCTTCCCGATAAACCTCGCCAATTATATTTTCATTGATCTCGTTCGTCACCATATTGAAAATCGAAACAAATCGTCAACATAATCGTCAAGCGCTCGTCGAAAAGTAGAAACGGTTTTTACTTTTCGTCAAGCGCTTGACGATTTTTTGACGATTTTTAATTCGTACTGCGCATGTGGCGCAGCGAATTTTTACGACGATTATCATAGACGATTTTTATGTGTAGAAACTGTGAGAAAAAATGACATCGTTGATCGTTCAATTTATACAAATCGGAAACATTGCAGCAAGTACTTGTTTATTTTGAAAAGATTCAACTGGATGTATTCAATAATATACATGCTTCTCCATCGTCAACAACACGCCTGGCATTTTTGCATGCCAAAACGCTAGTTTGTAAGTCATTGTGTCCAGCGGTTTTTGCACAAAATACTTGATTAAAATAATTAATTAATGAAGATGGCGGCTGTTTCTAATGTGCGATTTTCAGCAGAAGAAAAATTACATCAAGAAGACATATACAGCAGCGCCGTTCAACAGCCACCTTCCTCCTTAACAAAAGTTGAAGAGGCAATTTTCGCATTGCAAGTGACATGCAATGCGAACATGTGGAAATTGTCTCAAAGCGGTGTGTTGGGCAAGTGCAAGCTACGCTTCAACCAGACTGGAAAGTATGCAAACTGCGCAAGCTAGATCAATTTTTTTTAGAAATTTTGCGCGGCGGATTTTCGACTTTGCGCTGCGAAGCCATAAAATATTCGCGAGATGCCAGTTTTATTTTTTCCGTATCACACTCCATTTTTGATAGTTTGCAATTGCAAATAATTATGAAACATAACATAAAAGATGATACATGTGTATAGCTGTAGCTTACCTTAAGTTGGAGCTTGCAACTCTCCTTTTACAACGTGAGGATGTGTCATGTGTAATCACAAAAAAATGCCACTTTACCTTAGGTATTATGTAACGAGTCGAACGACCAACGTACCACGTATGTTTATCATTCATCTGCTTCATCGTTTCATCACAGCGTATGATACGATAAAAGGTAGGCACCAAATAAATTTGATTTACTGATGTCGTCAAATACGTCGTCAAAAAAAAACAAATCAATCAGGAACCATCTTTTGTATAATCAGCAGCCAGATTGTGGAGTAGAAGGTTTTTCAGTTAATAATTGTTTATAATCAGCAGCCAGATGGTGGACAAAAAAGGTTTTTCAATTAATTGTTTATAATCAGCAGGCAGATGGTGGACAAAAAAGGTTTTTCAGTTAATAATTGTTTATCATCAGCAGCCAGGTGTTGGACAAAAAAGGTTTTTCAGTTAATCTTTGCTCATAATCTGTAGCCAGGTGGTGGACAAAAAAGGTTTTTCAGTTAATCTTTGTTTATAATCAGCAGCCTGGTGGTGGACAAAAAAGATTTTTCAGTTAATCTTTGTTTATAATCAGCAGCCAGATTGTGGACAGAAAAGGTTTTCAGTTAATAATTGTTTATAATCAGCAGGCAGATGGTAAGCAAGGGAGCTTTTTCAATTGATAAACAATTACGATCTGCTGCCAGATTTGGATTGAAAACTTTTTGATTATAACTGCACGAAGCATACTGGTTGACGCTTGACTAAGGTTACAAGAGGAAAGGTAGCTTAGGGCGTGATGTTATGATGCGTTGCAAAACCTTGGACATCTCTCCTTCGTGTTTTGCCATGCTCGTCGGTCTCTAAAACAGGAATCATATGTCTGGACAAACCACGTTCCTTGTCCCCATTGATGTAAAGTTTTGCCATTTCGTTCAGTGCTGCGTCGCATTGAAGTACAGATGGTAAACTCCAATCAACTTTAGCACGATTCATTAGCACTTTTATGCTTTGCCCACCATCCATTTCTTGCTTATCCACCACCCGGTAAAAAGATTCGGCAACAGCCTCAGTTCCGCATTTCGCATAAAATATGTCAAAGACGAGACAAAACTCTTGGCCGACAGCTGAATAAAATGAGGAATCGTTATATAAAGATTCAATAACGGCCTCTTCTTTAAAAGAACGTCAATCATTTTACCATTGTTGAGCGTCACTTCGAAGACCTCAGAAAGGGTGAACTGCCTTGGTGTACCTTCTTGGAACCTAGTCACAAAGACTCCTTCCTCGAAAACCACATCCTGCAAGGAAAAAATTCCTTCGTCATCGAGAGAGATCTTCTTGAAAAAATTAGGGAAGAGAGTGTGTAGCATATCACCCCAAACAACGGCAATGAGTGTTTTCTTTAGACGCCAAAACACTGTGGATGATAGCTCGCTACAAAGCTCAAAATTCTTTTCAGAAACATGTGGCATCTGTGAGGAAAAGTTTACACATCGTCTAAACTCATTAGCTCCAAGTTCAGAAAACTCCCTGTTGTTTACTGGACTTTTTTCTTCCGAACGAAAACCGCATAAACCACGAAAAGTCGTCCAAAGTCAAAACACTTTGATAGCATTCTGTTGAGGTCGGAAAAGCTATTGGTGTAGCGAACATCAATCTGACTAATGACATCCGCAGCCAACTTCTCTAGATCATGAACACTGTCCTGCATTTCTCTTGCTACCCAATCCACTGGCACTTTACCGTCGCCTTCTCTAACGACAAACCAACCAGTTTCCAACTCACTTTGCCCAAAGCGGTAATCTCGAATTTCATGAACTCGCTGGCTTAATCTTGGGCAAACAAAGTCATCAGGATCAATTTTAGATACTTCCTCGATGTAACGTTGAATCTGTCGTTTTACCAAAGGAACATGAGAGCACAACTTCCAACCAGGATACCACTCAGCCTGCGCTTGCAGCATCAGGACGACCAAGGGCCACAACAAATCGAGTACACCAAGCAAATCATGGACAAAGTCTTGACCACATAACTTGTAACCCATCTCTTCTCTATTGTTGTGGTCCTTGAAAGTCTCGATGTACACTTCCAAACTATCTGCAAGATTCTTTAAAGATAGATAGCTGGAGCTCAAAAACCGCTGATGTGCAAATGCGTTGGTTACTAGAAACGGAAGATTCAAGTCCTTAGCAGTATGACGCGCTACGCTGTGCATTTTACCACGACTAAAATTATTGCAAGCCTTGAACTAAAAAGTCAACACTTTCAACCACTATGGCATAAATTTCACAAAATATCGTGACAAAATGTCGTAAAATCTGATACTATAATGCAAGAAAAATGCCGTATTTCACTAACAAACCTCTCATCTTTTTCATCGGTTTCCTCCCAACTTTCAGATTCACTGACACCAGAAACGATTTTGCACGAAAGTTCGTCAGTTGCATGTCCAGCCGTATCCTTACCAAGCTCTCTGAAACAATTTAATATTCATAATTTTAAAAAGCTATCACTGTATATGTAAAAGAAATGTATTATATAACATGTATGCAGTTTGTGATATTCGGTTATTTTATGGTTCACGCAGGGAATGAGCAATTTAGCTACCTTTCATCGACTTCCATAATTTCTATCCGTTCTCCCATTCCGTCGCCACCACACTTTTGTTGCACTTGGCTTGTACTGAAAATACAATTAACATAGAAAACATACACAATGTAAGTGCAGTTCTCAATTTGGGAATTGGGAACTTGATTTTCATTTACCTAGCCGATTTAAGCATTTTGTACGCCTGTAGCGCAGATTTAGCAAGAGGGGAATCTTCTCTAATAGCGTCATTTGCTAAGGTCTTTTCGCCCTTGTCGCTGTGAGTTTTTAAATGGTTTGCTAGAGGGGACTTGTTCCCTCTAGCAAGCCAAAATTTGCGTTTGCCTTGCCTAAAACAAAGTAAGCAAAAGCCCATTGGGGTTTTCTCGTGTCCACTCTTTGCTCGCTTTGCTTCTGGTCCTGTTTTCTGCTGTTTGCTATGTCTTTTAAACATGTGGGCTAACTGAAACTCTATAACACACAATTTTTATGGTTACAAATGTGTCGATAGCCAATCTTGGTTGTTTACTATTGTTTTTATAAAACCCACTGACAATGTCATGCCACTTTTCTTTGTGACGCAAACACGATCACTCTTACACACGACTAACATTCTAACACTAGATAATTGTTCTGTTACCTTCCTTAGACAGTGTTTGCTGCTTATTTTTAGCCACTGCTGCTGTCTCAGTTTTTGCACAGCCACTACACAAGACCTGGGCACCAAAACCTTCATCATCACCTGCTGATGTTGAGCAAGGCGGAATTGCGTGGCACGTTTTTTTGCAAACTTTGCAAAAATGGCTTCCACATTCCTTCTTGCATGAAACGCAAACTAGTAATTAGGCAACAACAATGAAAACATAAGTTAAGATAATGTAATGAACGTTTTTTTTGGTATCAAAGGCAAGCAGCACAAGTTTTTATCAACACACAAATGTTGGTTTGGTACTCTTAGTGAGAAGTGAATATTGTCGAGGAATCACCGAATCAGCTCCTGCAATCAACCAATGGCTGATATATATTGTGTACATTGTTGTTAGGAAAATTTTCGGCTATGCTATTGTAACGGGTGAATTTACCTGATTTAACTGCTTGAATCTCAGCCATCTAGTAAAAATAAATAAACAATTAGATAAAAAAGTTTGTCAAAAAATCTCGCTTTATCACCAAACAATAGCGAGCTAAGCCCTGTTAGTTCGTTAGCAAACAGGTTTTAATTATAAATTGCTTCATTTATCAATATGTTTTATGTAAGGATTGTGAATTTTATTTGCCTTAAATGTATTAAAACATGCTTTGTAGTTTGTAATACAAGAAATCCTTTCGTACCACTACTTTTAGGTTACACAAAAAACATAACTGTTAAATAATAACTTGTTTCCCCGGGCGTTTAGTGTTAGAAGCGTTAATGCTTTCAGAATTTTTATCATTTGTAATTTTGTATCAGTACTTTTCATTTTACTAAACCATTACGTGTACTCACCTTACAAATTTGAACACCCCAAGTTGGTTTAATTAAATATCACGTATCACCGTAGAATACACCGAAGAATCGATATGGTTTGCCTTGAAGTCACTTAAAAGAAAAGCTCGAAAACGAAAGCAAAAATGTAGTTAATCTGCTCAGATATCATATTTCTAGTCATCAAACGCTTATTGGCTTACCAACCAATTAACGGAACTTGCCTGTCAAAACAGCTTGTAAGATTGACATTCAACAGGCAACAATTTTTTTCAACGGAAACAACAGCCCTGCAGCGCACATGTGCTGATATTGCGCAATAATTTCTCGCGCTGCGCGGCAAATTTCACAAATGCGCAGCGAACAAGAAATTTTTTAAAATCTGCGCGTCAGGACGCGCATTTCTCCCGAAATTGCGCAAGCTAGATCTAGGTTGCGCAAGACATACTTTCCAGTCTGGCGCTTCAACTTGCAGAGGTCGACTTTGACACACAACAATAGTTCGCTGAGATTGATGGAACTTTCTATCAATCCAGCTAAGCTCTTAAAGGAGGAGTCACGAATTTGGCTAATGGGGATTCGTCGACGACTTGGTGGCAAAAAAAGCATCAGAAACCCATATTATGGGGAAATTACGAGGGTTACTCCGCATGCTTTTTTTGCTACCATGATGCGTACTGTTCGCACTTTGGATTGTGTTGTGGCTCCTTCCTGTTTCCAGGTTAAAAACAAGAAGGCTGAGGTGATATCCTTCACCTCCATGCGCCTTTTGAATGAGTTGCTTGTTTTGTTGTCTGGCTTGTCCAAGGAAGATGTTGCTGCTTACCTAAGGCGAAGTTTTAGCGGACGTCGCAAGGGTCAAACAGCAGCAGTTATTGTAACCGAGGTGAAAGACTTTGTTTATTCAATGATGAGCCTTCCAGTTTCTTATTTTGTACATAAAGACAAACAAACATAAAATTTGCCAAACAGCAAAAGAAGCAACTCATTCAAAAATTAAGAAAAAATATGAAAACAGAAACCCATATAAATAAGTTTATAATTAGTTAAAAATAAGTTATTAATAAGTTTATAAATAAGTTTATAAGTTATAAGTTATAAGTTATAAATAAGTGTATATAAGTGTGTTTATAAGTTATTAATAAGTTTATTAGTTATTAATAAGTTTATAAATAAGTTTATAATTAGTTTACCCTTATAATTAGTTTCAACCTAATTCTTGTCATCCCTCTAAAAACAAAGAGATCTACAAATACCTTTTAAATTTATTTCAAATAAAAAAGTTGAAACCTGACTAACAACTGAGCCATTTATTAGCTCTTGGTAATTGTTGCATTGCCTGCTTTAAAAACAAAAATAGGGCAAACTAGCACATTGCCTGCGAATACTAGACAGTAAATTTTTCAATGAGGACACCACACTCTGGCTTCTTCGAGTTTTTATTAAAGTTGACAAAGGTTTTAAAAATTAGTTAAACTACACAAATATCAGTCAATGTAAAATTCAGATAAGTATAATATATGCAAATTTGATTGTATGCACATGTAAAGCTTGTATGCTCTAACATGTACATATTCCGGTAAGATTAAGTTGCACAGATTATACTTGTCCAAACATGATAAAAGACTAAATAGTTTTGTTACATTATATATATACAATTACAATATTACAACTTACCCAAACAATATACTTATTTTAATATCTTTGTCTTCATTCAGCTTGTACATAAAATTACTTTGCTTTGTAACAAATCACAAAAAAAGCAAATGCCAAATCAAAAAGCAATTGTTAAATAATTGTTTTTCTGTAGAATGATTGCTATAAGCAATTACAGGGAGACAGTTCTCTGAACAATTAGCCCCAAAGAGCAGGAAATTTTCATTGCGGCTCAACATGCCATGTCCAATGTTTAGAAAACTTACCAGCCAAGAGCATGCTGAATCATCTCTTCCAAAAGGGGCCCCATCTCCACCAATAGCAACATGAAATGAGTTTGGCTGATTAAAGTTGAAAAGTTTATACTTACCAATGTTCAAATAAAATTCTGCAAGCTTAACAAGAATATCTTCTATATCTCTGTAAAAACCATTGACCTTCTCACACTTATCCAACCCATTGCACAGATGTTCACGAATACTAAATAACTTACCAATATCAATAGATTTAATGGATTGCATTAATCTATCATAGGGAACCAGCCGAGTGGTGGGACATTTAGCAACACTAACACGTTTAGCCCTCTTACTACCACATATCTGCTCATATGAGCTAGCCTTATAAACTCTTCTATACTTTTCTTTGCCCATAACTCCTTTGCTATAATACACAGCAATCGATCTTAACATATTCTCATCTGATCTTTCGAACTTCTTCAAATCTTCTTTGTAAATTTTTGAAAAAACCTTGCTCTTAAACTTACTGCACTTTTCTAATCCTTTTACTATATCACCCACTTTGCACTTATTCTCTAATGTCTCCAACATTCCAATGGCACCAGGTTTTGTATCATCTTTACTACCTCCATGAATGGCATTAGCCGCCAACATAGTCTCCATCCTGCGTGTTTGACCAGTGGACTCCACACAACCTTGCCCAGTTGGTTTGTTTCTTCGCCTAACAACTGCCTTCCTGCCTATGCTAAAACCTTTCTCCTCTTGTTCCTCCTGCCTACTTCCACCTTCAATGAACTCTGTCCTGATGCTATCTAACTCTTCTAGTTCATTCACCAATTTCTTTACCTGTAAAATTTATGAATACAGTTCCAGCACAAAAATGGCATACACATTCTGATATAAAATACAAGCACAAACAGTTCACACTAAAAATACAATTAAACTGAAATAGTACGCCTTGGCGCTAAATATGTCGATTCTGTATAAAACAATCTTTCATTAAAAAATAAGCCTATCATTACAAAATTCGACACATCATGTCAAAATATTGCATATGTTATTGACTTATTGACATAAGACAAGATCGAGTAAGCAAAGATCATTTCAAATAAAACTACTAAACATTTTTTACCTTATCAACAAGACGTTTAAGCTTCTGAGACACACATTTTGCTTTCTTTTGCTTGCTCATATTTCCTTCTCATGCCAATCTTTTGTTGCGCATGTATTCCCCAACATTGAATCGTTTGTAATTCGTTGCCTTGCGGAACGGCATGATTGACGCTAAATTATCCCATTTTCTTCAAAACAAAAAACATACGATTGTAGGAAGATTATTTATCTTACCAAATATCCAAAATTTAAGCAAAAGAATGATCGGATAAAGAAACCTATACAAGCCGAAGTTAGAGTAAATTATCAAATTTCGCCAACCGACGCCATTTCGCCAAAAACCCTCGAGCAACAAGCTCGTTTGTTGAAACCATAGCAAATGAGATATCAAAATGATCCTCTAGTTATCCTCTATAACACTCTTGTGTTCCCAAGTAGCTCAAGGAAAACGTTTGCTGGAAAATCAACGACAAAAATAAGGAATTTGCTGTTCGATAAATTCGTTACCAAGCTTCGAAAAATGTCGCGCGCCGGCAATAAAATTTGGCACATTCTAATTCTCTAATTTCGCGCACAAAAATGCCAAGCGTGCAACGTCACCTACGCGCAATCCTCCGCATTTCCTATCAACAAAGAGTAAGGAATGACGAAGTTCTGACGAGAGCCAACTCTATGGACATTGAGATTACCCTCGCCAAAATACAGCTAAGGTGGGCTGGTCATGTTGCTCGCATGGCAAACAATCGATTACCCAAACAGCTACTCTTTGGAGAGCTCGCTGAAGGAAAGAGACGTACTGGTCGTCCACTCCTGCGTTGGAAAGACTCTCTCAAATACACTTTGAAAACATGTCAAATTTCAATAGATAATTGGCAGCTCGAAGCGGCGGATCGATACGACTGGAGAGACAAGTCACGTAACCGTCTCAACAAGATGGATGATTTGAGGCGGCGGAGCAACGCTGTTAAACGATCAAGATTTCACGCTACCAGGAACGCCTCTACTGTCGCAGACTCGGGAAAATTTCGTTACCAACACTGCAACAGGATCTGCGCAAGCCGCATTGGCATGCTAAGTCACGAGCGCGCTTGTGGAAGTCAGTGAAATAGATGGACATTTGCAGACAGCCATCGTCGATTCGACGGGCATCTCTCTCTCTATTTTAAAATAACCCGTGGTATTCATTAAATGCGCAATAACGTAATAGTTCTTAAAATAGCCCTTTCAGATAAACAATGCGTACAATAAACGTACTGGATTAAATACGGCACTGTGACTACCAATCACGTTTCTTATGTTATTTGCCAAACGAGATACAGCTCATGCTTTTTTTACATGAAACATTTGCTTTAGAACTATTAAGTGTACATATCCATAATCCGTCGAAGGTACTGATCAGTGAATACAAATTATTTTTTACGATGAAAGCATTTAAAGTTTGTTAGTTGAGCTAAAGCTGACGTTACTAAAGAGTAAAAATTTAAACGATCGTCACCGAACTATAAAAAGGCTTTGGCAGAAAAAACAGTTTAAGTTCAATGCAATAATAACAGGAGTGCGCAACATAAATCTTCTCATATTCCCTGCCTCTTTTTAAAAATCTTCTAAAATGTGACGTCTTACCTGGAAAACATCGCACTGAACAGACAAAAATCGAGATTAAACAGCATTATAATTTCTAATATTTTTATATTTGATTCCTTTCTCTGTGGTTGACTTCCTTATAGTTCCTTGGTTCTGCAGCAGTTCGATAGTGTTTTTACGAGATATTTAAACATAAATATTTGATTGAAGTCGGAGAACAATTACGTAACGGACAATAACAGATCTAGGCACCGTACAAAACAAAAATTTGCAAATGTTGAAGATTTTTTGTGCGTGTTTTTGTTGAAATATTTTGCGATTTATGAATTATATACATTACCGTGGACTTTTTAGTATTGTAATATACAATATCTACTGAACAGTTTTCAGTTTCAACAAGTTTTTGTTAATAATATTGCAGAGTACAGTGTAATATATTTTGGTAGTCTGGTTCAGTAAGCAGAGTCTTATCCAGACATAAGAGACGATCACATTTGTGTTTCACGCTTGTGTTTTGCGTT